AACACGAGCCAGCTTGTGTGCCAGGAGGGCCTATCCCCAACGGTTTCTGGGTCGTGTGGGAAGGACCCCCCTATCGCCCACACTCACTTGGCAATGGTTCCAAACGCCGTCGTGGAAAGGGGTTAAAAATCGTTTGTATAGCACGTCGCTGTATTAGTGTGCAATGATTGGCTTTTGTTTTTGACAATAAATTTGTGAACCAATGTGAGGCTTGGATAGGGGAGGTTCTTTCTATGCGTGGAATACTTATCAAATTAAACTTTGTCTTATCTCATATCCCATCCTTCTACATGTCTATGTTTCTGTTAAACAAAACCACCCTGGAGACAAACCCAAAAGAAAATTATTTTGGCATAGTAAAGGTAAAAGGAGGGGTTAACATATGGTGAAGTGGAGCGGAATTTGCAGGTCTAAGAAGAAAAGAAGGCTGGGGTGGAAGACTTGAGAAAACAAAACATAAGGTTGTTGGTGAAGTGGTGGTGCAAACTTGACAAAAAAAGAAGGGCTTTGGCAGGATATTGTTAAAGCAAAATACTTGAAAAGGTCCACTGTGGCTCTGGTGAAACAAAGAGTTAGTGATTCCCTTTGTTGGAAGTCAAAGATTACTATATGGCTGGTAGGGGGATTAAAATAAATAGAGGGGATATTGCTACACTTTGGATGGTAGGATGCCTCTTAAAGACAAATTCCCTATATTGTTTGATATTTGTGTCGAGCAAGACTGTACTGTAGACAAAATGGGAACATTGAATCATATATCTTCTTTTAGGAGAAGGTTATCCCTTGATCTGATGAACCAATGGGAAGAGGTGAAGAAGGGTGTTTTGAGCTTAAAGAAAAGTGAGCTCCCTGATGAGGTGTACTCGAAGTTAGAAAACTCTAAGGTGTATACTACTAAGTCTATGTATAGGTGGGTGGAAAAGGATCTTGTTGGGTCTAGCTTTAAATGGATTTGGGCTGCCAACATCCCTCTTAAAATTTAGATTTTTATGTTGTAGGTTTTTCAGAATGCTATTCTGACCAGAGATAACATGAAAGAAAGATGGTGGTCTGGGAACCCAAGCTGTTCATTTTGTGATCAGTTGGAAACGGCCCAACATTTATTCTTCCTATCTCCTATAGCTAGAGTGGTGTGGAGGAATGTTGGGTCTGTGTTAGGGACTCTTGTTGCCCTAACTCTATATGGCAATACTATGCTTGGGTTTATGCTTTGTTGCCTGGTTTTGATAATCTTTACACTATTGGGCTAGCAGCAATTTGTTGGGCTATTTGTCTTGCCCGGAATCATGCCACATTTCAGCTCAAATGGATAAATACTCCCTTTGAGATTGTTTTTATGTCTTCTAGTTTTCTAATGTATTGGATAGGGCTTCAGAAACCAGAGATGATGGATGTGGTGAGGAAAGGGGCGGAGATGCTGAAGGAGAATGCATCCCAAATGTTGTTATGTGACCGGCCAGTTCCAGACAAGGTTGATCGTGAAGATATTGGCCCAAGTGAACGTGTACCATCTTCACGTCAAACGGGTGGTCGTCTTTGTTTTGGTTTCCTGATGCTTCTGGAAAGATGATGTTGTTGTTGGAACTGTTTGGACCATATGTTGGGTGTCTATTGGGTCTATGTTTCCTTTTGTAATAGTGCAGTACTCTACAGTTGCTCGTAGTGCGGTTTGGGTGACAACAGCTTTCCGCCCCATGGTCTTGTCCTGATGATAGGCGCGGACGGTGGGTTTCCTGGTGTTGCTCTGAGCTATCTTCTTCTCTTTCCCTAGCTTTCTGGTTTCGGTCACTTTGAGACAATGTATTTCCATTATGAAAGTAATGGAAAAGGGGAAAGCCCAGTTCGAAAAACAACCAGACTAACTAATGGCGTGGGAGGACCGAGAGCAACTCTAGCAGATCATGTAAAAGTGGACAAACCTTTAAAATTGCAATACAAGTTGAAAATAACGCACCGAATAGATCCCATAAAATAGCGGATCCCATAAAAAATTACAAGTCCCTGTATATTATCCCGTACATACATCATATTTGGAGGTTTCGAGTAATTTTTTAGTGGACCTATAAACATGTTAGGACCAGGCAGCCTAGCGACGCCTCGCACGAACAGGTGGAGGAGCTCGGCAGCGGCCAGCCGGAGCGTCGCCGAAGTAGGCGGCCGAGCCTGGGACGACCGGTCGGAGCATGCATGCAGTCGTGCGCTCTGGCCGAAGCATGCGTGCGTCATGGCCGTGCGTTCTGGCTGGCCGGAATTCAAGTTCGTCCAAGCATGTGTCCTAAAGAAGAAGCATGAGAAAAGGTAGAAAATTATTTTTACGGTACAAGTTTACGGGATCTGTAGCGCCATATGCCGCACAATACTGGAAATTCGTTTGAGGGGCCTATATATTGTTTTTACAGGACGCGTTTTTGTAGGATTCGTTAAGAGCATCTCTAGCATATCCGGCAAAAGACCCCGTAGAATAACGGTCGTTTTGCAGTACGAGGCAAAAGAAATGTCCATATCTGGTACCACAAAACGTCATCGTCTAGCAAATTTTTTACATATCCCTCTAAAATATGGGCTTCATCACGTAGATATCTCGAATTGGAGGCGGTTTTTGCTGCGAGGGAACTTTTAACTCTCGCCACAGTCTTTCGACCTTCCCTGCCGCCTCTGCGCGATCATCCTCGAGCGCCTCCGGTGACCACCAGACCTTGATGCGGGCTGCTACTGCCGCACGCCGCGCAAGTATCCGATTGCTTTTTATGTGTGAGGATGTTTTATATCCTCTCCGTCTGAAAAAGCTTGTCCCAAACTTGTTCTTCAAATGGATGTATATAATATATCACTAAGCTCCCTAAGTTTGGAGGCCTCACAATCAATTGAAGTCTCCAATTGGAATTTGGTCACCAATTTTGACCGGGCCAAGAATTTCTCAAAACTCTCTTGTTCATTTTTTATACAATACACTATACTTCCTAATTTTTAAAGCTGCGCAATTAATTGATACTTCAATTTAGAATTGGATCATTCAATTTTGATCGGGTCAACAATTTCTCAAGGAGCTCTCCCATTTAATTATTTTAATTCTCGATGTTCCCTAAATTTAAAATTCTTTCATTCGATTGAAGTATTCAATCTTGGATTTGGTTTACGATTTTAATCGGGCCAACAATTTTCCAAATCAATCAGTAGCAGCCGGTCTATAAAAACACATCAACCCCTCACGGACTCCCATCACCCAGAAAAAAGTGCCACCATGTGATGCTATATCATGGATATAGTGCATGCAATCACCGATGCAAAAAAAAATCCCATATAAATACGGGTTAATTAGCGGATAACGCAGTATCACGCCGCGAAAGGCCCACCAAATAACCTCATTATAAATAAACATACAACACACTTCATCATCTCGAACACCGGCCAAACTAAATATTTCATCAATGTCAAAATATAAGGACTATTAGTTTTTTGAAAAGTCAAATTTCTTTAACTTTGACCAAGTTTAGAGCTAAAAATATCGACATCAACAATATTAAACAAAAATATATGAAAATTCATTTTATGATGAATCTAATAACACCGATTTGATATTATTTCTCCACAAATTTGATGAAACTTAAACAAGCTTGACTTTCAAAAATAATAGAACACCATATATTTTGAAATAGTGAGTAAAGAAATTTAAGAATCCCAACAACATCAATGGCGCTGCAAAACACGCCCAACCCTTCTAGTCTACCACTAACTTGGAGTTACATACATCCATTTGAGGGACAAGTTTTTTCGGACGAAGAGAGTACTATTTACATGGATCCTTCCATAAATTGATTCAATTAGTTTATATGGGATTTGTTTTTTTTAGCATCAGTACAGACACAAGCGCTCATATACACGCACATACACTCACCCCTATGAACGCACACACGCACACCCTACCCCTATAAGCACCTCCGAAAGACTGAGCCGGCATATCATCCTGAGATTTACGAAGTCATGATGGATTGGGGATACCACTGTCCACCTAACCATCTCAACCACAGGCTGGTTCACTTATACGGGATCTGTTGGTGACATACAAATGGTACCGCAAATTCGTTTTAAGAGGAACCCTCGTCTACTGTTTTTAGAGACGTGATTTTAGCGGATCTGCTAAAGATGCACTAAGATGCCCAGGTTTAAATGTCCTGAAAATTAATATCATTAGAAAACGACGGGGTCCATACGCCTCGCTCAGGAAACGAGTCTGCTTCACGCTTTGAATAGCCTCTCCAGCCTCCGCTACGCATCTCTGCTTACGTGATCTCTTTGCAGCAAAATTAATTAATACGAACATGAATGTGAGGGAGTTCACAACATTTTTGAACTAAATTTAGTATTATCACATTTGCACACGTTTTTCCTGTTACAAGAATAGCAGGAGCTGTTCATCACAGATGAACAGCAAACAACTAAAGCACTTCCTCGACTACATCAAAATTTGAATTTACAGCAGAAAGCAACAAAACATCAAAAACTAAAAAGGCAAGCTATGCTGACGAAACAACTAGCCGCTAGGGGAAAACACACTTGGATCACGGTGCAGATGGAGGTGAGCAGTGTGACAGAACCATTTGGTCCTGTATTTCCAAGGCTCTACATGAGCTTTATCAGATCATAATACACCCGACAACCGCTGCCAGAAACGTCTCCATTCTGGGAGAAATAGTTCATCTGGGAGATGAACTCACATTTTCATTTGCAGCTGTACATGGTGGCCTCGATCTCTAGCCTCCCTTCCAAGGGCCGTGCAGGATAACATGGTGGCCTCGATCTCTATCCTCCCTTCCAAGGGCATGCATCCTGCAAGCATGACTTGACACCTCCAGCGCCATCAAATATGATGAGGGAATCCGGTGCACCGTTTCAGAAAAAAATGTCTGATATGTGCACAGCTACCCAACAATTTCCCTCATCAAGCTGAAACAGGCAATTGTTCTGTCTTTGACGAGAAGGCTCTAACATGTCAACAGACATTAGTCGATCTCTACTTCCTCCACATCTTTGCTGCTAGGAAAACTGCATGGCTCATCTTCCTCTTCGTCCTCATCTACTTTCATAAATAGTCCAAGTTTTTCCAACATGCTGCCAGAACCAGGAAGAAAACTGGGCATGCCATCCTGGGAATGCTCAGGACTCGTCTCATCAACAGAACTTACAATATGTTCCGTGGTGATTGTACCAAGCATTTCTAGGTCCTTGGGATGGACGCTGTCATTAATTTCTACAGTTCTCTCCATCTGCATCGGGTTTAAACAAACTTTTAGCAACAAGACAAAAGATGAGTCAATAGCACCAGCAAATGCAGTTCATTCACTTGCCTCCTGCAAGGCCTGACGAGCCTTTTCCCTCTCAAGGTCCCGCTTACGCTTAGATTCAGCTTCAGCTTCAGCTCTGCGAGCTTCCATGGCTGCATTACCTTCAGCCAAAAGCCGTTCTTTTTCTGTGTCCATAGGCAAGACAATTCTTAGAAAAGGCAGGAGCTTACTACTTTGCAGCAAACAAACAGATGTATATGCTTTTTACCTTCCTTCTGCAGTTTCTCCAGCTCCTCCTGTTTATCTCCACCCTCACCCTGAGCTCGTAATTACATGTCAGAAAGAGGTGCAGCGAATAATGAAGGAAAGAAAGCTAGATGTAAAAGCTCCCAAACCTGGCTGAGAATCCCACGAGCTTTAACAATAACATCAGCATAACGGCTCCTCAAAAGAGCTGCTCGTAAGAGCTTGTCCGGGGAGACTTGCCTGTCGAGTTTTGCATTCTCCCCTATATATTCATTGGGAAAGGATCAGATGATCCGACCAGATCAATGCACCAAGACCCCTTAGTGGTCTCATATGAACCTGCTTACATAATCATGCTTACCCTCAGGTGCAGCCTTGGACTCATTGTCCTGCTCACGGAGTTCCACATCACCGGCAGTGTCTGTGATTTAACCAGTGGTAATTGGTTAAGTATGACAAATAATAGCAGATTCCTCGCAACATGTAGCCAAAGGGGTATTGGGGATAAAACTTACGGTTAGCATCAACAGGGTTAATAACATCACTCTTTTCTTGCTCTGCAGGTTGTTCTGGTATTTTAGTAACCTGCAAAGAAGAAACCAATTATTGCAACGAAACAAGGTAGCACATATAAGAGGTTGGCTAGTCAATGGAAATGAAACAATAAACTCTTGCCACAACATTAGTAGAACTGGATATCATGATTACTGATCAAAGTTGACCCAGTGTATCGTAAAGATCCAAACAACCAGATCACCCATTCTGCGATCTGGTTCAGTCTGACTAAAGCGAGTCAACCCATGAAGTACAATCTACAAAGCTAACCGCGGACACTGACACAGAGATCACCCGTTATGTGATCTGGTACAGTCTGCCTAAAGCGAGACAACCATACAAGCTATGAAGCTAACAGTGGACACTGACAAGGTGTGGTACTATCAGAAATAAATTGGACAAGGAGGGAACAGAAGGGCTGGTGACTACAGAGGCGGTAAAGAAAATGACAAGCGAATAATGGATGAATGTAGAGCTAAGGAGAGAAAGAACCGGCGGGTTTAATCCTGCTAACATACTTCATAGGTCCATATCTTCACTACTAAGATAGTTCTTATGCATTAACTGGCTTAAATGAAGGATCACCCAGTAAAAAATTGCCAAAGTACCTTCGCAAGCTTTGCTGGGCTACCAACCTTTTCTGATTCGCTTTCAGTATCACTGCCGGAGTCAGAATCTGCATTACCAGCATAGGAAATACGATCTGAGGACTAGAAACCGTGATAAATATATCATATACAGTAGGGTCTTGTAGACAACTGGGACTGACTGTTTATAAATAATTAATTGGAACAAAGAATCTGTAGTTTCCAATACTAATTTCTAAAAAGCATCTATGGTGCCCTTGCACCACATATCAGTTCACTAAGAATAAGTGTGAGACAATTGCAGGATGACACTCTGTCATCCTGGGTGACACTGACATCTTGATATTTTAACTATTTCATTAAGTTTCTATGGATTCTGCTACGTCTCCTGAGAGATAATATTGGTTGTAAAAAATAAATGAAAAGAACAAATTTGCAGCACATGTCAATCTCATATAATATTCTGAATTTCAGATGGTTCACCTATACAGTAAAAAAGTTTGCTTCTCAACTTTTGCTTCACTACATTATGTAAACTCGTAAAATCAGATTTCAACGACGTTTAGCCAAAGACATAAACAAAAATATGGACTAGACATAAGCACAAATCTCTATAAAATGAACATGAGAAGAGAAATATAGAGATGGTCAAAGTAGTAAAGAGCGGTAGCATGAAGAGAAACATGTTTTACAAGGATATACCCAATGGCAAAACACAAATATAGATAACTAAAACTCATATGTACACACCGCTGGATGAAGATCCCGAGTCACTGCTGGAACTACTTGGACTACCACATTTGTTAGTTCTGATCTGAGGATCCTTCCCTATCAATATAGGGGATGCATTGCCGCAAATGTCCACATCCTCCTCAATAGGCTCACCACCTGAGTGCACAAAAAAGCCAATCTCTAGTAAGTGCATTGATGGTGTCAAAGTTAAATCTATTGAGAACCTCAAAGGGTACATGACAAAATACCTTTGCAGGGATTTGTGGACAAGTGACTGAGGCCAGGAACGTTCACAGCCCAATTCTCAGAGGGCTCTGATTTTTTCTGCTGGTTATCTCTCTCTTGCAAATATTTGTCGACATGCTTCTTCAGTTCTAATAGTATATCATCACTGAGTGCATGGATATCAATCTCTATCTCTCCATCCCCAGGCTGATCTGTGTTGTTGTCAATACACTGCTGTAACAAATCAATGATGTGACCAGGTAATAATTCTGGCTCCTCGGACAAAGAAGCTAAGCAGTTTCCAAAGGATTCTTTCTCCTCAAATGTCATCTTCGGCTTCATAATCTCAGTTGGCCTGACACGCTCTATTGACAAGTCACTGCGGTCAACAGGAGGGGTCTTTCTCCTCTTTGAGTCGGCCCTATCAACCTCAACATGTGGCTTCGTTGCAGCAGAAGCCAACTTCTTCTCAACTGTCTTCCATCTAGACTCAAACATTTTATTCAGTTGAATGGCCATATCATGCACTGCATGCCCTCGAGGATTGTAAGTTATCGCATTGCTAAAGGTCAGCCTGACATCAGCTGCAAAATCAGATGGCCTTGTGTAGGAACCAGAATCTAGCTTCTTCTTAATGGTCCCAAGGTCCATCGGGTGCTTGATAATGTCATTATAATCTGGAATGTTCAGCTTTTCCACGTCTACCGGAACATTAAAAATATGACTACATTTCTGAGTCATGAGCTTCTTCAGAATACCTTCACACATCTGCAGAATCGTAGCTTTGGGCAACACCATGGATGTTTCAGGCCGGGGCTTTGTAGGCAAGAAGCGCCCCTTGGCACCACGGAGAACATGGCTCCCCCCTTTCACTTTTTTAGCTCGAGGGGCAGCAGAGGATGAGTACGCAGGTGCCCTGCTAGCAGGCATTATGGCCAAAAACTCTGGCTTCTTAAGGAGATCCCGGACCGAATCAAGCTCTGAGCGGAATCTCTTGCGAAGGTACCGCCGCTCAGACGATGACATCTTAGAGGGGACAAAAATCTCCCGCTTCACTCCAAAGCCATCACTGTTAAGGCTGATGCACTTGCGTTTTGGCGCAGACGAATCTTGCGAGTCAACACGAACAGGGCTGCCTGACTCGCCAACAGTCTCTGCATACCCACGGGGCACACCTCGGTAGGCCATTTCATCATAGCTCCGTTTAATCTGCCTCTGCGGCGCAAACTCCATGAGGACCGTTGGTGTCATGTTACCAGGCGCCAGCGAGGTGGCACAGATCTGCTGAATAATGACAAACATCTTCAGACACACACACACACACACACACACACACACACACACACACACACACACACCGAATTGAAACCTTGCCGGGATTTAAATGGAAACACACAAATCGAAATTTACAGGTGTTCAAATGCTCTGCAGCAAAACCCTAACATTACCAATCCGTACCGAGCGATATAGCACAAATCCGACAGCCTAACGCTCAAATCTTCTAATTCGCGCCCAGAACCAGACGCCTACCGACCCGAAAGCGAAAACCCCCAAATCATAACAGCCGAACAGATTCGAAGCGAAAGAGGATGCAGGCACGGACCTGGAGGCTGGATCTGAGGCGCGGGGAACCCTAGGTCGGGATCCCGGAGCGAGGCGTCCTTCTCCCTTGGTGAGCGCGGCAGCGAGCTGGACTTGCGCCGGATCTGGAGAGCGCGCGCGGTGGCCGCCGCGGGTTCGAGTCGCCTCCCCCTTATCCTATTTCCTTTATCTTCTCTCCTCCTCTTTCTTCTCTCTTGTTCTCCTTTCCTCGCGCCTCCAGTCGTCTCGTCGCGCTGCCAATCCTTTTTCCTTTGCCGAAGCGACCGAGCCCGAGCCCGAACCCGAAGTGGAGTTGGATCTGGATCCTGCGCACGAGGTCGAGACCCGAAGTGGAGCGGGACGGAGCGAAACGATTCGGTTGGATGCGACTTGACGCGCGCGGGGTGGGCGCTCTCTTGGTGGGTATTTATAGGTGCGGGGGGTTCCGGGGCGGTGCCTGCCGGATCCTGGCCGTCGGTTCGCGGGGATCGGACGGGCGGACGGGGAGATCTGGGAGCGGGGCCCCCCGGGGCCGACGTGACGTGGAGGGGGCCGCTCTTTGACTTTGTTCGACAAGGTTTCTGTTTGGACAAGGATCGCACGCTGTCTGACGATGTATCGTGGGGCGACAAGTTTTTCGGGCCCGCATGTCATTGGATTTGGGTAGGTTTCCGTGCGGTTCGATAATTTCTGCGGAGTGGCCGTCTTTTGTCGAACCCGCGGGATCTGGATCTGGGTACGCGCGGAGGGCGGGGTGACTTTTAGGTGAAGGCTCGTGACACGTGGAAGCACGTGCGTGGCTGCGTGCCTTCCGCGGTGGGGCTCCTGGCCTGCCCTGCTGGGTTTTTCTTTTTTGATTGAAGCTCTCCTGGGTGTTTCCCGCGGGCCGCCTTTATATCTTGCCTTGAGCGTACATCTTCCGCCAACTCGCTCAACGCGAGTTAGATGGCCCGGCCCACCCCGCGGCAGGCCATCGCCTCTTTTTTTTTTGCTTTTTTTTTGTAGTTTTAGATAATCAATAAACATACATATATATACTAAAATTGCTCTGTAAAATAGATATTTGAAAAATGTTAATCAAGCATTTGAATAAATGTTGATTGTGTATACAAAAACTGTTAATCATGTATTAAAAAAATGATGAAATGTTTTGACCATGTATATAAAAATGTTAATCAAGCATTTTGAAAAAAAATGTTGAGCAAGTATTTCAAAAATGTTTATCAGGCATTTGGAAATGCTAAATGTGTATAGAAAAATGTTGACCATGTATTAAAAAATGATGAATTTTTTTATCATGTATATACAAATGTTAATTAGGCATTTTAAAACATGTTGAACGAGTATTTAAAAAATGTTAACAAAGCATTTCTAAAATGTTAAATGTTTATACAAAAAAATAGACCATGTATTAAAAATGATGGAAAATGTTGATCTTGTATATAAAAATGTTAATAAAGCATTTGAAAAAAAGGTGAATGGGTATTTAAAAAATGTTGAATGTGTGTATAAAAAATGTTGACCATGTGTTCAAAAAATGTAACATTATTTTAAAAAAATGTTAATCAAGCATTTGAAAAATGTCAAATATGCATAAAAAATGTTGACCATATATTAATAAAATGTTAATCTTGAATTTGAAAATTGTTAATCTAGTGTTTGAAAATATTTTTAAAATGTATAGAAAAAATGTTGAATGTGTATACAAAAAATGTTAATCTTATATCTGAAAAATGTTAATCAAGTATTTAAAAATATTTAAAATGTGTCTAGAAAAAATGTTGGCCATGTATTCAGAAAATGTTAAACTTGCATTTGTAAAATGTCAAAAATATATTAGAAAAATGTCCTTGATGTATGCGAAAAATGTATTATGAGAACCAAAAGAAAGAATGAAAAACAAAAAAATGAAAATAGAAAGAATACAAAAAATAAAAAGCAAACAAACAAATGCAAAAAAGAATAGAAAAGCTGTGATAACCAATAAAAACAAAGGAAAATTTAAAATATGAACAGAAAGAAAGAAAATAAAAAAGAAGAAAATGAGAAGGAAGAGAAAAACAGATAAAAACCATAAATGAAAGAAACCAAAAGAAGAAAATAACTAAATAAATATAAGGACGAAAAAAAGAAAACCAAGGAAGAAATAAGAAACCAAAAAAATAAAAGAGATGATAAAAGAAAAAGAAAAATGAAGAAGACAAAATATAGGTCTTTTCCTACTAGTTGGTCACGGATCACAGAAACCCCAACTACTTCACTTCAAGTAGGTCCGCCCTACTAGCTTATGGCCCAACGTGGAGTAGATGGCTAGTCGCGCTTTCTCTCATCCAAGAGATCCTGTGTTCGAACCCTAGTGCACCCAGTTTCTCTCCACTTTATTTCTTGTTTTAAGTTTGCGTCAATGGGCCGGCCCGTTACTGTATCGTTCGACGCGAGAGATCCATCTATCTCGCTTAATGCGAGAAGCTCTCGTGTTTCGCATGAAGGGAAGCACGTATCTCGAATGAGAAGACTGGGCCGATGGTTCTCGCTGGGTTTGGCATAACTATGTTTTCTCATAGGCAGAGTAGGCCACTAAAAGACGTGGGGGATGAGGTATTATACAACGTTGAGTGCTTGTACACTGGTGCAAACTGCGTAGCGTCTAACGAGAGATCCTACAATACAGTTTGCAGTGATTCAGCTGGCAATTACGTCAGAGTTTTGATAATCAGAACAAAGGGAGTGACTGGCCCAGCTTTGCTTGAGGCCCTACCTTGTTGAGAGGCACAAGCGCTCGCTCTAGACCTCTCTTTATCACATGTCGTCATTGCATCGAACTGTTGGGTCGTGGTAAATGACATTCATAAGAACACGGGAGGCACACATGCTAGCCTAGTTAGAGAGATTATATCTATTATTGGCCAGTTTGATCATTGCTCCTTCATCTTCGAAGGAAGAGGCACAAATATTGAGATTCATAGCCTCTCTAAACACGCTTCTGCCTAGATTTTGGACGCCATATGTGGCTTCTCAACCCCCCCCCCCCAAGACATCCATTGTATCCCTATAAATATTGTTGATTAATAAGGTGTGTTTAGACTCAAAAAAATTGTGTAGCGTCTCGAAATTTTCTTTGATCCGTAACACACAACTGCTTTGTATGGCTGCTTAGGCTGCTTTAACATTCGCGTGGCACTTATTTTCTCCAATGCAGAGCTACCTACCCCCCGACACAAGCAAGAACAAACATTCATGTTCAGCTCATTCACCTACTTTGTGTTAGCTTTCTGTATTCCCGACTATTCCCCAAGCTAAATCAGTTCCCAAATTTGTTCTAGGCTTTGAGTGATGAGGGTGTCGAAGACAACTCGCTGACACACCTTGCCGACGGCTGCTCCACGCCAACACAACGGTGCTGGGAAACGTAGCATGCAATTTCAAAAAAAATCCTACGCTCACGCAATATCTATCTAGGAGATGCATAGCAACGAGAGGGGTAGAGTGTGTCCACGTACCCTCGTAGACCGAAAGTGGAAGCGTTAACTTAATGCGATTGATATAGTCGAACGTCTTCTCAAATCAACCGATTAAGTACCGAACGTACGGCACCTCCGAGTTCTGCACATGTTCAGCTCGATGACGTCCCTCGAACTCTTGATCCAACAGAGTGTCGTTGGAGTCGATGAGCTCCGTCAGCACGACGGCGTGATGACGGTGTTGGTGAAGTGATCCGCGCAGGACTTCGCCTAAGCACTACGACAATATGACCGGGGAAGTAAACGGTGGAGGGGGGCACCGCACACGGCTAAACAATTAGTGTGCTTTGGGGTGCCCCCCGCACCTGTATATAAAGGAGGAGGGGAGAAGGCCGACCACCAAGGGGCGCCCCAAGGGGGGAGGAGTCCTACTAGGACTCCACTCCTAGTAGGATTCGCCCCCCCTTTTTTCCTTCTTCCGGAGGGGGAAAGGGGAAAGGGAGAGGAAGAAGAGAAGGGAAGGGGGGCACACCCCCTCCACTAGTCCAATTCAAACTCCCCATGGGAGGGAGCGCGACTGATACGTCTCCGTCGTATCTACTTTTCCAAACACTTTTGCCCTTGTTTTGGACTCTAACTTGTATGATTTGAATGGAACTAACCCGGACTGAAGTTGTTTTCAGCAGAATTGCCATGGTGTTGTTTTATGTGCAAAAAATAAAAGTTCTCGGAATGACGTGAAACTCCACAGAATACCTTAGAAAAAACAATAAAAATCCTCGCAAAAGATGAAGACCAGGGGCCCACACCCTGTCCACGAGGGTGGCGGGAGCCCCCCTGGGCACGCCCCCTACCTCGTGGGCCCCCTGGTGGCCCTCCGAGGCCAACTCCAACTCCATATATTGACTTTCGAGGAGAAAAAAATCAGAGAGAAGAAATCATCACGTTTTACGATACGGAGCCGCCGCCAAGCCCTAATCTCTCTCGGGAGGGCTGATCTGGAGTCCGTTCGGGGCTCCGGAGAGGGGGATTTGTCGCCGTCGTCATCATCAACCATCCTCCATCACCAATTTCATGATGCTTACCGCCGTGCGTGAGTAATTGCATTGTAGGCTTGCTGGACGGTGATGGGTTGGATGAGATTTTGAAGGAAATATGCCCTAGAGGCAATAATAAAGTTAGTATTTATTTCCTTATTTCATGATAAATGTTTATTATTCATGCTAGAATTGTATTAACCGGAAACATAATACATGTGTG